AGTCCTTCTTCCGTGATCTCTCTCTCTCTCTCTCTCTCTCTCTCTCTCTCTCTCTTTCTCTCTCTTTCTCTCTCTTTCTCTCTCTTTCTCTTTCTCTCTCTCTTTCTCTTTTCCTTTCTTAAATTTGTTTCCGTTTCTTTCTCTCTTTCTCTTTTTGTCTTTTTCTTCATCTTCACAAATTTTTATAGCATGTTAATTTAGAATACATACGTTTACACACACACACGCACACACGCACGCACACACCTGTACACACAAATTCACACACACGCACACACAAATTCATACACACACACGCACGCACGCACACGCATGCTTACATTGCATTAACATGCAGGCAGGCTTGGATCATACATAGTTTAAAATTGTTCAATTTCATTGTTCATTGGTGCTGGCGAAACGGGAATGAAGCTTTTAAAATGACAACCTCCAAAAAAATTTTCAACATTTTAAAATACAGGATAGGGCTTGCATTTAGACGTTCCGAGGCTTTAGGAAGGTCTGAGTCAAAGTAGAGATTCCTATTTATTTAGGAAATCCTTTTTTGTGTAGTTCCCAAGGCAAAAGTTTCTCCTTCCCTGTTTTAAATCCGGTTTAAGTTACATTTTTGAGATTAACTATAAGTATATAACTGAGTAACGATTTTAAAACAAAATTGTAGGTATTATTAATAACATGATTGCGTATGAATGTTTGTGTGTGCTTATGTGAATATGTGTATGCCTTTGTGTGTTTTAGCGCTTATGTAAGTTTCTATGTATTCTCCTAAATGATGCTATATAAGAGATAATTAAAGGAAGAGAGAGAGAGAAAGAGAGAAAGAGATATATATATAGGGAAAAAGAGAGAGCAATATTATTTTCTTTCGTTAGATGTAAGTCGCGTTTGGAATGATTTCATCTCCCCGTGCTATCTCTCTAAAAAAAAGAGGAACAGCTGATAACAACAACAACAACAATACTAATAAACAATAACATTGAATCAATAATAACAACAACAATAATAATAATAATAATAACAAACTAATAATGATATGCAAACCAAATATAGATCACATTTAATTCAACTAAATAAATTTAGTTTAGTTTCAGATCACAGGTAGCTCAGATGACAAAAAAGCCTAAGCACTTATCAATGATTCATCTCCAAAACTAAATAAAGAACCGTGCTAGTTACAATAATCAATGTTAGATGAAACTAATAAAGATACGAGGAGGAAGAAAGTAGGATGGTCAAGGG